GACAAAGCAGGCTTTACTTCTGCTGCTGATGGATAAATCTCTAGGTCACCACATAGTGACAGCAGTAAGCATGTTTCTTAACATTATTCTACTTAAAAGTAGGTTGTTTAGAGGCATATTTGTAAAGCAAAATGTTGGGGGATGATTTTGTGCACTGTGTTCAGATGCTGATTACCATGCCCAGAGATCTGGTTGCAGTTTGAACACTGGCATTCTTGTTATCCTTGGAGCATCTCCTGTCTCAGTGTTGTGTAAAATTATTTTCCCTCACCTCTGACTGGTTAATAAAGAGCTGATTCAACCAAGAGCTGAGCAAGAGAGAGGAAGCAGGACTTCCAAGCCCAGTGAAAAAGGGTCTCAGGTGGAGATCAGAATGAGAGGAATTTGCCAGGAGAGATTAGCCATGGATATTCACCATGAGGCATTTACTATGAGCAGGTCACCAGGGGGGGTCACCAAGAGGACACAGATGAAGAAGCAGGTGCCAGAGAGAGAATGCCTTAGTCTGGGTTTTATTGCTGTAAGAGACACTGTAACCAAGGCAATTCTTATAAAGAAAAACATTTAATTGGGGTTGGCTTACATTTTAGAAGTTCAGTCCATCTTAGAAGTTCAGTCCATTATCATCATAGCAGGAAGTATGGTAGCGTACAGGTTGGCATGGTGCTGGAGAAGGAGCTGAGAATTCTACATGTTGATCTGAAGGCATCCAGGAGTGACTGTCTTCCAAAGGTAGCTAGTTCAATTGATCATTCTCTTTACCCTGGCATTCAACTCTCCCTCTTAGCAAAGCTAATTTCAGGGTCTATACCCTATCCACCCATGTTCCTTCATTGAAGGAGGATGCCATTCGACCTATGACCTTCTTCATCCTCCTTCCAGGAGGAGGCTCTGATTCTACACTGGGCAGAGCTTGAGCACTAGGAGACCTCAAATCCCACCTACTCAGTGACACACTTCACCAACAAGGAGGGCCACACTTATTCCAACAAGGCCACACCTCCTAATAGTACCATACCCCGGAGGACAAGTATTCAAACACATGAGTCTATGGGAGCCAAACCTATTGAAACCACCACAGAGACCAAGATGGCAGGTAATGGCACATGGCTGGGAAATGGATGGGAAGTAGGCTAGGCCAGCATAGTCAGGTCAGAATAGTTCAGAACCTTCCAGTGTAGTGCCAGAAACTTGTAATAAATATACAAGGCCTCCATATAATTTATCGGGGAGATAAAAGAGGCAATAGAAAAGCCCTTGAATTATCTTCTACCAAAAGGTAACTAAATTAAATGAGCTTTAACCAATATTGGCTTTTGGAATTTATTATAAAACATTCACAAGCATTTTCCAGGTTGTTAAGAACCTTTCTCTCTTCTCTGGTCTTGAAGACCACCCCCCTCTTCTCTTTCAACACTTTACTTCACTACCTTATACTTGTAAAAATGCAGGCATTGGTCTTGGAGCTCTCTATCTGGTCAGAGGCTAGATTACATTCTCAATGCATCATAGGTTGCATGACATCCTCCTGTAATGAAGGAACATGGGTGGATAGGGTATAGACCCTGAAATTAGCTTTGCTAAGAGGGAGAGTTGAATGCCAGGGTAAAGAGAATGATCAATTGAACTAGTATACAGCCCCATGTCAGTTGAATGGTTCCCTTGTTTACAACATCCTTATAAGTCCGTTTGGGAGACATTGACGACATTGACTGCTATTTGCCCCTCTGTTGTTTGAGACGTTTAAGATATAGGTATAGATGCTGAGATCTGTCTGGGCAAGAGAATCCATCCCCCTGTTTTGGGAGACATCTTTAGGCAAGGAGGAAGGTTGTGTTGTTGTTGTTGTTTTGTTTTCTACTTTTGCCTACATGACCAAAGCAGCTCAGGCCTACACAGCTGGAGGCAGAAGCAACAGATTTCTGGTAGGTTTTATTTGTAACACAACCTTGTCCTATAATAACCCTAGAGAGCAACTTCCTCTGGTGGGATGATGTTCCATTCAAGGGAATAACTTGTGCCTAGAAGTTTCCTGCCACGAGGTTAGCTATAAATTTAATCCATTTCACTCAAGCACTCAGTTTTTAAAACATATCTGATTTTGAATGTTATCTTCCATTAACCAACTTTTAAATTTTTCTTTAAGCTTGTTTACTTGATGCCTAATTTTGACAACATATGCAGAATACTATGTGATAGAGTTAATAGATGACTATATGACAGAAGATAAAAGTTGGTCTCTCTCCAAGCTTGTCTCTTTAAATAAATTACATTTGTACTCAGCATGACTGAATATAAACTTGTATATCTTAATTATCTTTAATAGTTCACAATAAATTAGTAACTCTTTTATAAGATTAAGATTTTATGATTTTATCCTTGTTAAGTTTGAGCCTTAAAGATTATAAATATTTAAATAAAGACCCTTTAATATCAAGATAAACTTTAAACCATAAATACAGTCTACAGGGAGACTGGTAAAACTTATTTTCTTGATCTGTTTATAGTATACCTTTACAGAATATTATAATTTCTTGTATGACTCAGTTTTTTAAATAGCTAAAAGCCCAACAAAGCTGGCAAAGACAGAGACCATACATGTGTCTTCAAGTCAGTTTTTGCTAGCATGAATGGATGTTAGGAATTCATAAACCTCATTCATGAAACATATGCTATTCCTTATCTAAAGTTTTCTAGAACATTGGTGTTGAACACAGTTAGTAGCGAAGGCATAAATAGTTTGATTTTTATCTGTAAATCAATTTCTGCTAGTCTGAGCACATTATATAACTTTAGAAATTAATAAATCTTTTTTTGTTAATGCTTCATTGGTTCTTTGTGAATTTCACATCGTGTACCCCAATCACACTTCTCTCTCTCCTCCCCTCATATCTACTCTCTTCCCTTGCAACCTCCTCAAAAACAGAGAAAAAAATCTCATTGTGGAAACTGTAATGTGACACAGTGTGTCCCACAGACTTTTGTCCCCTCTTCTTTGCATGCAAATGTTCATTGCAATGATGACTTACTTCTCTGGCCTCTGCTAGATTATCAATACTGGAACCTCACTGGGACTTCTCATGGATATTTTGTTGTTCTGCATCATGGGGATCTGTAGTTTTGGATCTGTAGGACAGGCCCTTTTGTGTGCTCTAGCAGTTCATCAATGGGGTTCTTCAATTCAAAGCCATAGATCTGGGCCTGAGTGGTATCTGAGCTGGTCAACCCCTCTCCCATCCTGCTCTCATACTCTTGGAGCTGGCTCACGAGCAACCCCAGCTACCAGAGCAGGTTCTACCCTGCTGCCCATATGAGGTGCAGGGCCTGCTCTCCTGAATGTTGCAGCCAGTGAGATACAGGGTTAGCTCTCCCACTCTTGTGACTTTAGGGCCTAGCTGCCATAGGTGGTGAGGATAAGGGAGGGGAAGAGGGTACCTTTCCCTCATCCCTGCCACCAACAGCAGGTGAGGGGCAGGGACAGGTCTCCTGTACTTACTCCTTTAGGACTGGCTCAATTGCTACCCCCACATCCAGGGTCTGCTCTACTATGTTGCCCAGGTGAGTTCCAGAGCCTGCTCTCCTGAGTGCTAGAGCAGGTGAGGGGCAGGGACAGCTCTCCTGCTCTCAACATCCCAAGGCCAGCTCTGCCACCTGATATAGGTGGCAAGGGGCAAGGGTCTGGGAGGACAACTCCTTGCCCATGCTGCCTCATGGCAGATAACTTGTGGGGATGGATCCCATTGCCCCTACCACCAGGGTCAGTTATATTGTGTTGCCCAGGTGAGATGCAGGGTCTGTTATTCTGCTCTCATGAGCCAGCTCTCTCACACATCACGAGTGTAGAGAGCAAAGAGGGGCAGTATTTCCCTAACCAAGACCACTGCACGGCAGACAGGAGGTAGGGAAAGCTCTCTCATGCTCATGCCCCTTGGGCTGGCTCACCTGCATACCCTATATCCAGGGTCATCTCTTCTATGTTGCCCAGGTGAGGTGCAGAGCCCACTGTCTTGAACGCTACAGTAGGAGAGGGTCAGGGACAGCTCTTTTTCTTTGATGACCTCAGGGACAGCTTTCCTATTTGTTGTAGGTGACAAGGGACAAGAGGAGGTGGGGCATCTCTCCCTCGCCCATGTCACTGCACCCCCAGATAAGCAGTGGGGCCAGCTCTCACATGCTTATGCCCTGTGGATGGGCTCATCTACAGCTCCTGCAATGTGTGGGGTTGCTCTCCTGAGCTCTGAAGCTGACTAAGGGTAGGGCCAGCTCTCCCATAAAGCCCAGGCAAGGGTAGAATTAGTTCTACACAGTCCTAAGATATCAAAATGTCCCCAGGTGGCAGTACAGACCAGGGACATCTGCCTGGCCTTTAGTGGTAACAGACCCCTGCTGCTGCAGGGTTGTGGACCCAGATGTGGCCCCTGCTGGCAACACAGGCCAGAACCCCACCATGGTCCTAGATGGCATTACAGGCTACTTATATCAGGGTGTTCCTTACTCCCCCTGAGTCTCCAGTTCTGTCTCTTTTCTCCTTCTGCTTCCATTTTTTTCCATTTCTTCACCAATTACTTGTTCCTCTAAGTGGTGGGTTGCTAAGTGTTTGGGGTGTCTCAGGAGTGCTTTACCCTGCTCGTGAATTATGGCACTGGGCAGGGGCCATCTTGAACATGGTCTGTCCCCTAGGCCTTCATGGTATCAGACTGGTGGTCATCTCAAGCTAGCTTCCTGTCGAGGCCCCATGGCTCCAGTCTGGTGGTCATCTTGGGCTCACTCCTTGCCTAGGCCTTCCATAGTAACCCCATGTGAGGGTCGTCTGTCTCAGGCTCACTCACACCCAGGGCCCAAGGTTCCAGATGGGGTTCTTCTACTCTCTGGCTCACTCTCTACCTTGGGAACCTGTCTCAGCCTGCATGGTGCTGGACTGGTGGTTGTATTGAGCTAGATCCCTCTCCTGGACCCCTGGCACCAGACTTGTAGCTTTCTTGGGCTCACTTTTTTCAGGGAGTGTTAGGATACTAATCATTCAGATATTCATAGGTCAGAACACTGAGTATAGACATGGTGTCTCTCCTCTCTGTCACCTCCTGATGTACCTGTGACACAGTAGCCACTCCTGCGATGCCTCTAGAAGTAGGTGACTCTAAAAGCCTTTATCATCAAACATATGTTGTTTTTAAGTCCTATTTTTTACATTGTTTATGGCTTTGTCTTCATCTGTTATTTTTCATTCTCAGGATAAAACTTATTGTACAAAAATCCATCCTAATCCAAAATATCTTAGAAGCCTGCTGTTGCTTCCTTTATGTAGGGAAAGTAAAATAAAACAAAAACATCTTAGAGACTCTTGGTGCTGCCTCCTTAATCTAAAAAAAGATATAATGATAAGCAGCCGGCTCCATAGGACTAAGAAGTTTTATGGATGTTGCCATAGTTGGTTTATACCACATGGTCACCTTAACCAAGATAGAGGTGAAGTCACATGTCATGTTCTCTATTTAATCTCGGTAAAGATGGCCACCAGCAATGTGATTGTTTCTATCCAGTGACATCATCAGGCAAGATGACCATCCACGAGGTACTGCAAGATGAGTTTACCAGGCACACACCATTCTCCTAAACAAGAACTGAATACAAGTTACATATGTGGTATATTATAGCAAATTAAGATATCTATACATAGACTTTTAACTATTAACCCTTTTGTTATAGATTTTAATCTAGCTTTTAATTTTATAGATCCTTTTTAAACTACACTCAATGCAATGTGCATTTACCTGTATTTTATTTCCTGGAATAAGAAGCCAAGAATCTGAAATATCTGGTCCAGACACTGACTCCCAATAACACTGGGCAAGCCAGTCTTAAGAGGCAAGAACATAAATTATCTCCAGTTCCTGCACTGAAAATTTCCCTCATTGCTTTCTAGACCTTGATCATTTCAACTGAAGTAAGTGACTGTGATGATTAACTGAACTAATCAGTTTTGTCAAAGCAAGCTAGAAAACTAATTTCTCCCTGCTTTGCAAATAGGAGGTAGCTGTAGTTGGACACTTAGATACTTCATGAAAGACAATTTTGAAACAAGAAGGGGATGGTTAACAATTGCCTCTCCCCAGCCATGACCAGGTAAGATAACCTGCCTCTCCTTTAAGGTACTGTTGCTAAGGCAGAACCTAACTCTTCAGACCCTATGATGTTAAAAGGTTTTTTCTCCCTTTTAATTTTTACTCTTGCTTTTCTTTAGTTTTACATGTGTCTGGGCTACAGAATGTCTACTCCTAAAATTAAATATTAAGAACATGATTTATTCTTGTGGTTTGTTTTTGCTTGAGTAGCTCTTAAGCTTACACACAAAAGCAAGCAGATAACTAAAAGACATAAAATAAATAAAGACAGAAGCATCAAACTTTATCTAGGAAATCAGAATCCCTCCCCGACAGAGGCTCCTCTCTTCAATACCCTTGCTTGGCAGCTTCTTTTGGTTTTAAAACTTCTGTTATCTGCCATAAACCATTGGATATCTGATGGATAATAAAATCCATTTGAGTGTTTGCTGCCAAAAGATTCCTATGACAAGAAAACCAGGTTGCAAGGCAGGCAATTTAGGCCTTCCTGGGGTAAGGCTAATTCATGCATCTATCAGGCCAATGTTTGTACAAACAATATGAGTGATTTCTATCTTCTTATCCCTATCTTGACTTCTCTAAGTATCTATTATTAAACTCTGGGTACTTTCCATTTCAAGCTAATACAATTAAGCACTCTGAGACCCTGTTTTTTTCTGTAATATGATCTGGTATACCACTCTTCCCTTAATTAGAAAGTAATCTCATCTTAATTGGATTAAACTGTTGAAACTTCTCACGAAGTATTTCTCTTATAGTTCCTACCTATGGTGGTTTGAATAAGAATGGCCTCCATAAGGTCATATGTTTAAATGCTTGGTCCAATGTTAGTAATGTCTTGGGAAGGATTAGAAAGTATAGCCTCATTCGAAAGTGGATATGACCTTGTTGAAGTGGGTGTGTCATTGAGAGTGGGCTTTGAGGTTTAGAAAGTCCCCCCCACTCTTCCTCCTTCTTTTCTGCACATCAGGATTTAAAACTTTCAGCTACTGATCCATGTGTGTCTGCTTCCTACCTTGATGATCATTGACTAACCCTCAAAATTGTAAGCAAGTCCCTAATTTTCTTTTAGAAAGGTTGTCTTGGTCATGATGTCTTTTTATAGCAATAGAACATTAACTAAGATAGAAGTTGGTACCATTGTGTGGGAGTTTGAATAAGAATGAACCACATTGGCTCATTTATTTGAATGCTTAGTCATCAGGAAATGGAACTACTTTAGAAGGATTAAGGGGATGACCTTGTTGAAGTATGTGTGGGGTTGTTGGAGTATGTTTGACCTTGTGTAAAGTCACATGTCATTTGGAGAGGACTTTGAAGTTTCAAAAGCCCAAGACAGGTTCAGTGTCTCTCTCCTCTTGCTGCCTGCAGATCCAGATGTAGAACTCTTACCTCCTTTTCCAGTACCATGTCTGCCTATGTATAGCCATATTCCTGGCTATGATATTGCTGTGCTAAACCTGGGGTATTGCTGTGACAGGTCTGACCATGCTGTTGTTTGGAATAAGGAAGACTTTGGGACTTTGGACTACAAAAGCAGTTGAATGCTTTAAGTGGGGTTTAATGGGCCCTCCTAATAGAAGATAGTAGTGCTGAGAGCAATTTGAACTAAGTAGACCTAGATTAAGAGGTTTTAGAGGGGAAGAGGTTTTTTGTTTGTTTGTTTGTTTGTTTGTTTGTTTTTGTTAGTTAGTTTGTTGTTGCTTTTCCTTTGTCTGAAACATCTGCCACAGGCTAAATTGAAGAGTTTTGGATTAATGGATTGGAAGAGGAAATTTCAAGACAACCTAGTATTAACTGTGTCACATGGTTATTAATGATCACTCTTAAGCAGATTTACAATGAAAAGGAGCAAGTAGGGCAAAGAGATATGCAAAATGTATAGTTTGAGGACAAAAAGAGCATCAAAAATATAATATTGGAGTCAAGTCCAGTGGTCAAGGAGATAAAAATTTAAATAAAAGTCTGATTCAAAATGCAATAAAGGAAGCGATGACCCTAGGGCAAGATTCCATTCAGCTACACTTCCAATTTGTGAAAAGGAACTAAAGGAAAGCTTAAGCTTAAACAGCAAAACCCCCCACCACCAACAGAAAGCCTATACAAATCCAAGTCTAGAAAAAGTTGGGTTCCAGTCCCAGCAAGCAGAAGAACTTGGTGACTTTCACCACTTGGTTCTGAGTTTGGAGTCGAAAAGGATGCAAGAGTAAAGGAGTTTTGGAACCTTTTCCTGAGGCCAGATATGTGGCAGGGGAGTCCCTAGATAGAAACCTGGAGAAGCCATTGTGTGAAACTGCGAAGGTAAAGCCTGAATTGCACTGGAAACCTGAGATATTGAAGATGCCAGAACCATGGGAAACCTGCCAAGGAGAGCTGCTGACAGGGCACAGACTTAGTCCAAGAGAGAAAAGTGTGTTGTAGTCAACAAAGCTAGAAGGAGTGGGAGATCCAAAGAATGCTTTGACACCAGACTTAGAAATGCTGGACTTGGAGTTTGCCTTCTTGAGTCTTGCTTTGGTCCAGTATTTCTTCATTATGCCCTGCTCCAACCCTTTTATAGTGTTAATATATTTTCGATGCCACTCTATGTTGGAAGTATGTGATTTATTTTTTGCTTTTGCTCTTACATGGGGTTATAATTAGAGATTTATTTGAATCTTAGAAGAGACTTTGACCTTTTAAATTGTCTTGAGACTGAGAAAGAGTATGAGGATTTTTGAAGTTGGAATGAATTTTGCATAATATACGGCTATGGTTAATCTCATGAATATGAGGAGGAAGACCACCAACTGCAAATTATGGCCAAATCAAAGCAAGCTGTATTTTGAATATAGTAGAGCCAATCCAATGGCTATCTTCCCTAAGGTGGGCTTCAAGAGGTCAGCCCTGGGATAATTTTTCATATCTCTTTCATTGAGCAAACAGTTCTGCAAGCAAGCATAGTTACAGAAGCAAGACCAGGAAGTTAGGATTTTACAAAACAGTTAAGGAAATCTTCCTGGAATGTTTGTTACAGGACATTTCATGGTTATGGTGTGGGTTTCAGCCCTGTTCTGAGAAACAGTAAATTAAATTTTACAGTAAATGGAAACTTAGCTATAGACTAAAAAAAGTTCTCAGGAATGAAATGGAGTTTGCCTGGTTCCTCAACCACAAGCCTATGGGAGCCAGGGAGTGGAAAGAAATGGTTTTAATTAGAATACCACCATAGGCTCATACATTTAAATGCTTGGTTCCCAGTAAGTAGAACTGTTCAAGAAGGATTTGAAGGTGGAACATTGAGCTGTGTCACCAAGGTGAGTTTCAAAAGCTCTGCCTGCTGCCTACAGATCAGGATGTAAAGCTTTTAACTACTGTCCCAGCACCATGCCTGTCTGTTTCCTGATATGTTTATTGTGCACTAACCTTCTAAAACTGTAAGCAAGACCCCCCCTTAAATGCTTTCTTTTATAAGAATTGCCTTAGTCTTGAGATCTCTTCACATGAATAGAATAGCAATTGCAAGAAGGAAGGCACTATTAGACATGACATTTTCTTGACTTACTTCAATGGGCAGATGGTCTTCCAGTACACTTTCTCATAATGATTATAACAAGCCATCTCTCCTAACCCTAGATACAGCTTCTCTACCAGTTCTCATCAGGCAGTAAACCAATTCCTGTGTCACTGGCTTTCACAAGAAGCTCATAGAGAAAAGACAGGTTCTCCAGGTGGACTGTGTCCAAGACTAGAAAGTGACATAGATTATGGAGGAACTGGGTAGTTCTAAGGCTAAAGTCTAAGTTGAGGTTAAAGATGTTTAATATCCTAAGGAAAGATTCCATAGGAGGATGCCCCAAATCTATACATTCACACTTCTCTTCCCTCTCAGGGGATGCAGTTCTGGAGGGATCAGGCTAGTAGTTTTCTATTTCCTCTTCTTTCCACAGCAAGTCATTATGTGAAACTCTTCTTCTGCCTACTAGACTCACTGGCTAAAGTTTGACAGACAACCTCAGGTGCCTGGATTC